AAAACTTGCACGAACAGTTATGCTAAGCCTTTTTGTGATGTGAAGGAAAGCACAGAAACAGTGCTCCCAGTTTGGCACCTGGAGGAGAAGGCAGTGAGAAGAGCCTTGTTCAGCCAGCATTCATTCACCCCATAGATATGGGATCACTGTGATGATGCAATGGGATGGGCACAGGCCTGGTTTATGTTCAGGCTTATTGCTATCTGAATCCCAGCTCTGCCCTCCTTAGCCGTACAACTTGGATTAGCTGTTCCGGCTCCATGTGCCTCAGTGGCCAAATCTGCTGAATGTGTACATTAATCTCTACCCTCCACGTTCCTGTATGGGTAGAAAAAAATGCATGCAGTCGATATGCAACCAGCAGATTGTCTGGTGCATGGGACGAGGTAATAAATGTTACCTCTACTCACTCCTTTGCCGCTTTCCAGCAAGATACCATGGGGAATTTCTACCAGAAGTTTCACTAGCTGATTTCTCCTCAAAAGGAGGAGGTTATTCCAATGAAGATGTTGCCCCTGAAGAGAAATAGATGTCTTCCAGTTCCTGTACCTGTGTAACAATAAAATTAAATAAATAATGATTATTGTGGGTTAATTACATTTCTGGCACTGAGCCAAACATTTTATTCTTTCCTTAATACTTATGACGTTTATCAGATGCAATTTCTTGGGGTGCCTGGGTGATTCAGTGGGTTAAAGCTTCTGCCTTTGGCTTGGGTCATGATCCCTGGGTCCTGGGGTGGAGCCCCACATCGGGCTCTCTGCTCAGCAGGGAGCCTGCTTCCTCCTCTCTGCCTGCCTCTCTGCCTACTTGTGATCTCTGTCTGTTAAATAAATAAATAAAATCTTTTAAAAAATTTTTTTTTAAAAAAAAGATGCAATTTCTTTCTGTCAGCTTTCTTTGGGCTTGATTTGCTCTACCTTGTTCACTTTTTTTTTTTTTTAATTTTATTTTTTATAAACATATATTTTTTTTCCCCAGGGGTACAGGTCTGTGAATCGCCAGGTTTACACACTTCCCCGCACTCATCATAGCACATACCCTCCCCAATGTCCATAATAACCCCATCCCCCCCAACCCCCCTCCCCCCAGCAACCCTCAGTTTGTTTTGTGAGATTAAGAGTCACTTATGGTTTATCTCCCTCCCAATCCCATCTTGCTTCATTTACTCTTCTCCTTGTTCACTTTCTTGAGATGAAAATTAAAAATACCAAACCTCAGTCTTCTTTTTTTTTTTTCTTTTTTAAAGATTTTATTTATTCGACAGAGAGAGAGAGATCACAAGTACACAGAGAGGCAGGCAGAGAGAGGAGGGAAGCAGGCTCCCTGCTGAGCAGAGAGCGTGACTCAGGCTCGATCCCAGGACCCTGGGATCACGACCCAGCTGAAGGCAGAGGTCTAACCCTCTGAGCCACCTGGTGCCCCTTTCTTCTTTTTTTAATGTGTATTGAAAGCTAAAATTTTCTCTAAGCACTTCCTTTGCTGCAACTTAATAATTTTAATGTCACATTTTCATTGCACTTACTTCAGAATATTTCCTAATTCCCAAAGCGATTCTTATTTGAGCCATAAGTGAAAGTTAGATGTGTATGCTTAATTTCCAGTAAGTTGGAGATTTCCAGTTATGATTCTGTGAACAATATCTGTCTTAATATTGTGGTCAGAGAAAATACTAGAAGTGATGTCGGTTTTTGAAATTTGTTGATGCTTGCATTGTGGTCTGGCATGTAGACAGCTTTGGTAAGCATTCTATTGTGTACTTGAAAAGAAAATTGTCTTCCATTGTTGGTTACAGTGTTCTATAATGTCAGTTCAGTGAATTTGTCAATGTGCTATTCTAATTATTTATGTTCTTCCTGATGATGTATGTAAGCTTCTTCTGCCAGCTATTGAGAGAAGTGTGTTAAAGTCTCATTTTGATGTGGAGTGTCTATTTTGCCTTCCACTTTTATCAGTGTTTCTTTTATATATTTTGAAGCTGTATTACCGGTTGTATACACATTAGAGTTGTGATATCAAGTTGGCTATTATTTTATCACAGGTAATAACTTCCTTTTTTATCTCTAGTTACACATCTTGCTTTAAAATCTACTTTGCCTGATTGTAGTATAACTATGTACCTTTCTTTTGGTTTGTGTTTATGTATTTTTTTTATTCCTTTACATTCAGATTTTTTAGGGCCTTATATTTCTGGGTTTTTTGATAACAGTTTTATTGAGATATAATTGACATACCATACCCTTCACCTATTTCAAATATAATAGTCAATAATTTTAGTATATTCATAGTTGCACAACTATAACCATAGTCTATTTTAGAATATTTTCATTTCCCCAGAATGAAACCCCATACCCTTTAGGTATCACCTACATCAGTCCTTATTCTTCCTAGCCTTAAGCCATCACTACTCTACTCTCTGTCTCTATAAATTTGTCTATTCTGGATGTTTCATATATAGGAAATTAAAAACAATATGTGGTCCATTGTTATTGACTACTTTTTTTTAGCATGATGTTTTCAGAGTTCATCCATGTTGCGGTGTGTATACTGATATTCCATTTATTTTTATTGTCAAAATATATTCCATTGTATGGATATACCAGATATTTTCCCTGTTTCTACCTTTTGGCAATTATGAATCATGCTTGTTTGAGCATTTGTGGACAAATTTTTTGTGAATGTATGTTCTCTTCAGTATATACCTGGAGTAGAATTCTTGAAATGAAAAATGAAACTGTGTTTCATTTTTTTAGAAACTGCCAAACTATTTTCATAAGCGGCTGTATCATTTTACATTCCCAGCAACAGTGTGTGATGCTTTGATTTCTTCATATCTCAACAACACTTCTCATTATCTCGCTTCTTTATAACCATCCTTGTGGGTATGAAGTGGTTTCTCAATATGATTTTGATTAGCATTTCTGTCTTGACTAATGATCCTGGACATCCTTTCATGCATTTGTCGGCCATTTACGTATCTTCTTTGGAAAAATATCTGTTCAGATCTCTTGCCCATTTTTAATTGGGTTCTTTGTCTTTATTTTATTAAGTTCTGAGAAGTATTTATATAGACTAGAGACAAATCCCTTATGAGATATAGGTTTTACAAAAATTTTCTCGCATTCTGTGAGTTGCCTTTTTAGTATCTTCGTAGTATTCTTTGAAGCACAAAAGTTTGAATTTTGATGAAGTCTAATTTGTCCATGTTTCCTTTGGTGCTTACGCTGTTGGTTTTATATCTAAAAAATCATTGCCAAATCCAAGATCACGAAGATGTATGTCTATGGTTTTCTAACAGGTTTGTAGTTTTTACATTTACGTCTTCGATACATTTTGAATTAATTTTGTTTATGGTCTGAGGTAAAGGTCCAACTTTATTCTTTTGCCTATGGCTGTCCACATTTCTAAGCACATTTGTTGAAAAGATGATTCTTTCTCCATTTACTTGTCTTGGCACCTTTGCCAAAAATCAATTAACCATAAATGTGAGGGTTTATTTTCAGATTCCCTGTTCTGTTCCCGTGATCTATATGTCTGTTCCTATGTTAGTACCATCTTGTCTTGATTACTGTTGCTTTAAAGTAAGTTTTGAACTTGGAAGTGCAAGTCCTCTAGCTTTGTTCTTCCTGTTCAGAATTGTTTGGCTACCGTGGGCCTCTTGAATTTCCATACAAATTTTAGGTTCAGTTTGTCAAACTATACAAAGAATTCAGCTGAAATTTTGATAGGGTCTACACTATGTAGATCAGCTTGCCATCTTAACAATATTGAATCTTCTGCTCCATGAACATGGGATATGTTTTCATTTATTTAGGTCTTCTTTACTTTATGTCAATGATGTTTTGAAAATTTTAGAGTATACATTTTATTGACTTTATTCTAAAATATTTTATTTTTATGCCATTTTAAATGGTATTGTTTTCTTGATTTTATTTTCACATTGCTCAGTGGTATTGTATAGGAATACAATTGACATCTGTGTATATATTTTGTTATCCTACAAAATTGCTGAACTTATTTATTAGTTTTCATAGTTTTTTAGTGGATTCCTTAGCCTTTTGTTGGTACAAGATCATGTTAACTTAAAGACACTTTTGCTTCTTTCTTTGCTACTGGTTATAGGGGAAAAAATTTTAGTCTTTTACCATACTGGATTTTTCTTAGCTAAATATTCACCTTTAGTAATAACCCCACGAAATGCAAACCTACTCCCTTGTTCATCCTAAGATGAACCAAGAGAATTCTCAATTATTGTTCTGCAATTTAGGCTTTTTCACCTCAGTGTTTGCTTTAAAATAAGGTTTCCAGAGTTAATGATTTTGTTTGTTATTGGTGTTATTTTACATCTAGTACAGTTCTTCAGTTCAGATATATGTTTTATACATGAATATGATGTGGTGGTTCTATCAAAAATCTGCAGGGAAAAATCATTCTGAAATCTTACTTAAAATTTTTTGTGGGGGTAGTATGAACCAAAATATTCTTGATTTTTTAAATTAATTAAGAATGATAACTTAAGGGGCGCCTGGGTGGCTCAGTGGGTTAAGCCGCTGCCTTCGGCTCAGGTCATGATCTCAGAGTCCTGGGATCGAGCCCCGCATCGGGCTCTCTGCTCAGCAGGGAGCCTGCTTCCTCCTCTCTCTCTGCCTGCCTCTCTGCCTGCTTGTGATCTCTCTCTGTCAAATAAATAAATAAAATCTTTAAAAAAAAAAAAATAAAAAAATAAAAATAAAAAAAAAAAAGAATGATAACTTAAGATAATTGATAATTTTTTTAAAAATTAACAAGAATGGCACCTGGGTGGCTCAGTTAGTTAAGCATCAGTCTTCCACTCAGGTCATGATTCTAGAGTCCCGGGATGGAGTCCCCCATTGGACTCCCGGGGGGAGTCCCCCATTGGAGTCCCCATGCTCAATGGGGAGTCTGCTTCTCCTTCTGCCCCTCCCTCCTCCTGTGCTTACATGTACTCTGTCTCACTCTCAAAAATAAATAAATAAAATATTTTATAAATAAATAATTTAAAGATTAATGCAAATAACAAAAAAGATTGCTTTTTATGTGTCAGACACTTTTCAATTAGCAATAATCGCGCCTCAGATAAACCTCATTGGCTACGATACTGCCACTGCGCAAAGCTGTGTGTCAGACACTTTTTAAAGCATTTTTAATTGTACAAGTCTCATGAATTATTTAGGTATGTAGTAATTATTATCCCATATCAAAGATGAGGAAACTGAAGCACATGGATATAAAATAATTTACACAAGAAACATAGCTAAGAAGAAGTAGAGGTAGGATTTTAGCTCAAGAAGTCTAATTTTAGAGACTATGTTTTTTATTGCTAAATGAGGATAAGCAAATAAATTACTTAGCAGAGCATGTTAGGTAATAAATGCTCAATAATTGGAGGCTATAATTATTAATTGCTTATTGTTATAAATGAAGCTTAGTATTATTCTTCAGAATTATAATCCTTATTTTTTAGGATTATTTCTTCAGAAATATGTCTCTGTGATTCACAGTACAGCACCAATCCAGACACATGAAAAGAGTAATTAAAATGTTCCTCAAATGAGCATTCAAAAACAGGAAAACTTACATAAATATTCAAAATTATAACACTATGTTTTATTTATTTAGCAAACATTTGTTGAATTGCCATTATGTTCAGATCACTAGAGTAGTCTCTGGGATTAAAGAAATAGAAGAAACTATACTGGGACGCCTGGGTGGCTCAGTTGTTAAACATCTGCCTTCAGCTCAGGTCATGATCCCAGGGTCCTGGGACTGAGCCCCACATTGGGCTTCTTCCCCAGCAGGAAGCCTGCTTTTCCCTCTCCCACTCTTTATGCTTGTAGTCCGTTTCTTGCTGTGTCTCTCTCTGTCAAATATAAATAAAATCTTTAAAAAAAAAAAGAAGTAGAAGAAATTATAGTTGAACAACACAGGTTTGAACTGTGTCGGCCCACTTATTACCCAGATTTTTTCCATAAATGCAAGAGAGTACTATAGATGTATTTTCTCTTCATTATGATTTTCTTTTTTTTTTTTCCTTTTTTTTTCTTTTTTAAGATTTCACTTATTTATTTGAGAGAAAGCATGAGTTGGGAGGAGGGGCATAGGGAGAAGGAATAGAGACTCTCTGCTGAATAGGGAGCCCTTCACAGGGCTTGATTCCAGGACCCTGGAATCATGACCTGAGCCAAAGGCAGATGCTTAACTGACTGAGCCACTCAGGCACCCCATCTTCCTTATGATTTTCTTAATAATGTTTTCCTTTCTTTGGCTTACTTTATTATAAGAGTACAGTGTATAATACTTATATAAAATATGTGTTGATCAACTGTTTATATTATTGGTAAGGTTTCTGGTCAACAGTAGGCTATTAGTAGTTAAGTTTTGGGGGAATAGAAACTTATACATGGATTTTCAACCACACAGGGGGTGAGCACCCCTAACCCCAACAGTGTTCAAGGGTCAACTATAATATGACAAGGATTACAGAGGAGTACACAACTACCTAAGAGAGTAAATGGGAAAAGGGGAATGCTGAGTGTGGCTTGCCCATGGAACTGGCTTGATTTGATGTTGTAAATGAGAAGTGTGGTACTGAAGTATTTGGAGAGTTAGTGCCCTGCAATGATTAAGGAATTGGAGATATTGGCATGCCTAGGTTCAAATTCCAACATTATCACTGAGTAAGTAGCTTGACAAATGCTGTGACTTCTACAAATTTCCTTTTAAATTTTAGAACAGGAATAATATTGCCTACTTCAAAATTTTTAATAAGTATTAAAATATATTATGTATTACTAAACATGATATATGGCATAAATAGAGAACTTTGTGGAGTGATGGAAATTATTTAGGTGATGGTTACAGGGGAACATACATTTATCAAAACATGTTGAACTGAGCACTTAGTTGTACTGAATTATATGGAAATTACCTAAATAGTTTTGAAAAATCACCAGTTACCTCTTACGAACTTCTTGGGACTGATGACTTTCTTTTTTAAAAAGTTTTTTAGGGGTGCCTGGGTGGCTCAGATGGTTAAGTGTCTGCCTTCAGCTCAGGTCATGATCCCAGGATCCTGGGATCAAGCCCCATATTGGTCTCCCTGCTCAGCAAGGAACCTGCTGCTCCCCTTGCTTATGCTCTCTCACTCTCTCTGTCAAATAAATAAAATCTTAAAAAAAAAAATAGTTCTTTTAAACATCTTTCAAAGTGGCATGAATCAGACTTGTTAGCCGGTCTTCAGTATCTAATGACTCTCCAAAAGTCCCCAAAGATAGTCATCTTATAGTTCAGAGCTAGGAGGAAATATTCTCTGTGTCTAAGAAGGCTTTGTGTCTCATAATATTCCCGTACTGTAATGATTAATTTTATGTTTCAACTGGCAGGGTGTTTTTGACTAAGACTATCATTTAAGTAGGTAAACCCTGAGTAAAGCAGATTGTCTTCCATTATGTGAATGGCTCTAATGCAATCATCTGAAGGCCTGGGTAGAACAGAAAGATCAGTCTGTCCCAAGCAAGAGAGAATTCTCCAGCATACCATCTTTGGACTTGAACTGGAACATGAGCTGTCTTAGGCCTTCAGCCTGGGGCCAACCCTTTAGATTTTAGACTTGCTAGCCTCATAATCACACGAACCAAATCTTTATAATTAATCTCTCCCTTTGTATTTACACATTTTATTTTTTCCCTTTGGAAAATATTAACACAAATGTAAATTAAATTATGCAATGAGATGCTTTTCTTTATAGTGGGTCAGTACCTTGTGGGATTTTTAGAGTATAGCTTCTTGTAAAGAAGCTCTTCTAGTGAATGAGTTTGATGACACTTGCTGATCTGGCACATGAATGTGAAAGAGGGAAATGAAATATTTAAATTATCATGTGTGTTTAGTGCCAGATACTCTAATAGAGTCATTATGTAAAAGGTCAGTCCCAGGATAAAATCAAATAAATTAAGCACTGTTAAATCTATACTATTAAATTGTGTCTTTTCTTTTTTTCTGCTGATTTTGAAAAGCATAGAAGTTAAATTATTATAGAGACAATAAATCCTGGGTAATTTCGTCCTGGTTACTTAAGCTGACGACTCCTTGGGACAGCTCTCCAAGGAATAAATTAGTAAAAAGTTTTAAAATTCTTAAGGTAAAGAACTCTATTAGCCATAAGGTCCATAATAAATTTACTACTGCTTTAAAAACAACACCAAAACTTCATTAAAAAAATATGTGCCCATTGGGGCACCTGGGGGGCTTAGTCAGTTAATTATCCAACTCTTGATTTCGGCTTAGGTCATGATCTCAGGGTGGTGAGATGGAATCCAGTGTCAGGCTCTGTGTTGGGTGTGGAGCCTGCTTAATATTCTCTCTCCCTTTGCCACCCCTCTTAAAAAAAAAAAAAAATACACACACACACACACACACACACACGCCCACTGGAAAATTATTTCGGCAGACACTTTAATGTAAAAACAGAGTACATGTAAACATAATGGACTTCTGCAGTGCTTTGCACAGACTCCTCAAATATTTGTTGACTAAATGAATGGATCAATAAGAAAGCAACATGTAGAGAGCTGCAGATGCAATTTATTATAAATATGCAATTTTAAAACAGGATTGGTGATATGCAGGGAGTAACCTCCTATGGGAAATCACTGAGACCTGCACTGTACACAGGGCTTGGCAAAAACACAGTGTTAAATGTTTGCAAACTGAATCATTAAATATATGTATCTGTGTGGGAAATAGAATTTTTTTCAATGTTTGTGATAGGAAACTGCCTTCTAGTTGAAATCGCCTTGTTAATAAGCCTCTCTGGCACTTACAGACCAAAATGTATGGAGTCCAGTTAGTGTTGGCTCTACAAAGCTGCGCCCTGCAGAGACAGGAGCCAGAGGGCTTGTGTAGCAGGAGCTCCTTCGGTGGTTCACGGAGCTGTGCAGCCCAGTTTCCGGCCTGCAGACAGGTGGGGTGGGGGGCTTGTTAAATACAGGGTCAGGTTCAGTAGGTCTGGGTGGGGCCGAGACTCTGCAGGTCCAGCAAGCTCCCGGGTGATGCCCAGATGGGGTCCATAGAACACACTTGTATTCCCGGATAAACGGGCGGGCAGATGGAGCAGATAGGGGTGATGGGAAACACTGGAGAAGACCGGTTATGTGACCACAGGAGTCACTTAACTTTTCCGACTCCAGATGGTCTCATGGGAAAAATGCGTGTGATGATGATGATCATGATGATGCCGACGACGACTATGACGACAACGATGATGATAGGAGGATAACACGTCATGGATCCTTAGGAGAATTAATGCAGAACTTAATGTAAAAATCAAGGCGCGTGCTCTGTCGTGGCCTTTGCTCCACAGATGCTCGCTGACCCAATGCTAAGCACAGAACACATGCTCCCTGTAGGTCCGAGGAGTCCACTCCTGGTCCCTCTTCGTGCCAAGGACAGCACTTCCCACTGGGCAGGGGTTCAGGCCACATTTGCTCAGTGCAGTCAGAGTAGAGCAATAGATGCCTGTAGAGACAGGGACACCTGGAGGATGGCTCCAGGGGCCCCAACAGGCAACTTTTTAAAAAGTTTTTAATTCCAGTAAGTTAACATACAGTGTTATATTAGCTTTGGGTGTATGATATAATAACTCAGTAATTCCATACATCACTCCGTGTTCCCCATGACTTGTGCTCTCCTTATTCGCCATCACTATTGCACCAATTCCCTGCCCCACTCCCCTCTGCTACCCACCATCTGCTCTCTGTAGTTAAGAGTGTGTGTCTTGGTTTTGTCTCTCTCTCCCTCTGTCTCTGTCTCTCTCTCTCTTTTTTTTAACTTTTCCAGTTTTGTTTTGTTTTTCAAATTCCACACATGAGTGAAATCATATGGTATTTGTCTTTCTCTGACCAACTTATTTCACTTAGCATTATACTCACTATTTCCATCTATGTCATTGCAAATGGCAAGAGTTCATTCTTTTTTATGGCTGAGTAATACTGTAATATATATCCACTTCTTCTTTTTCCACACATCTACTGAAGGACACTTGGGCCGCCTCCATATCTTGGCTATTATAAATAATGCTGCCCAAAACATAGAGCTGCATGCATTCCTTTGAAGTAG